CTGGTAATCTGTGTGTGGGGAAGGGGTCTGAATGTGATGTTGGGTTGGGTACCTGGGTCTGGTAATGGGTGTGAGGAAGGGATTTGAATGTGATGTTGGGTTGGGTACCTGGGTCTGGTAAAGGGTGTGGGGAAGGGATCTGAATGTGATGTTGGGTTGGGTACCTGGATCTGGTAATCTGTGTGTGGGGAAAGGATCTGGGAGAGGAGTGGAAAGCCAGGCTGCAGTGTATAAGGGATGTGACTAGATGGCGCAGGGTTATGGGAGCTGAGATGTATATAGTGTGCCTGAGTGCGGACGCTGTAAGGTTGGCTGCTCCTCGGGCTGCAATGTATACAGGGGGTGTGTAGATGGCGCAGAGCTGTGCGGCGGAGGCTGGAGCTGGGATTTTGGGGCACTCCCGGTTGAGTTGAGTGGAAGATGGCGGCTGAGGATCGGGAGAGGGACCAGGCCCGCAGTGACAACGCCAAGCACAAGAGGAAGGAACAGCTGAAGCGCTGGCTGGGCTCCGAGACCGACCGCGAGTCGGAGCGGCCCCGCACCAAGCAGCTGCGGGTCAAGTTCGCCGAGGGGGCCGTGTTCCTGGCCGCCTGTTCCAGCGGGGACCAGGAGGAGGTGGAGAAGCTGCTGCAGCAAGGAGCTGACATCAACTACACCAATGTGGATGGACTGACCGCCCTGCACCAGGTACAAAACACACCCAGGGTTCAGAACCCACCCCGTCCCCTTTACCTTTCCCAGGCAGAGGGACTGAATCTCACTGCCCAGAGCAGGCACCTCTCAGTTAGTGTGGGAACTGCACAGGGACAGCAGCTTCAAACACCTCCCTCCCTCCCTTCTCCCCAGGAGAAACCCATTCACAAACATGATTATAAATGGGGAGAAAGAGGAGACACCAGTGGAACAAATAGGTGGTTGTGAAAACGTTATTGAGATGGTCTGCAAGGGCAAAATGAGCCTTCCCCTCTTCCCTTCCCTTCCCTTCCCCTCTTCCCTTCCCTTGTTTGTTGCAGCACAAAGTCCTGGGCAGGGAGTTACATTCCCAGCTCCTGGCTCTCCCTCCTCTTCATGGACCGCGGCTTCGGGGCTGAGTCGCGGTCCAGGATCGTGCCGCTTTCTGCCCCCTTACTCCCCCGAGGGGGCTCTGTGCCTTCGGGGACGAGGGTAGGGGGATGCCTGCTTTCTCTCTCTCTCTCTCTCTCTCTGTCTCCGCTGTCTCTCTGCAACCCTCCCAGGGCGATCCTCAACACCTCTTTCACCGACCCCCACCTCCCCCTCGGGGGTGGGGGGAGAGAAACGTGAGCAATCGGGGCACATCCTCCTGCCGCCTTACCCTAACCCCGTCCTGTTCTTCCCTAAACCCTCCCCCGCCCTTATCATTTCTGGGATTCCAGCACAGATCAGACAAGAGAGAGCTTAATAAGGCAAAAAAAGTCAGTCAGCAGGTGACAAGGTTTACAGGGCAGTGCGAACCCCCTAGCTCTGACTCCGTACTGCAGGTTTGTTGGCAGAGATCAGCAATTCTGTCATTTTCACCCTGGGAGCTGACAGCACTTGAGACCAGTCAGCCCGCCATGGATTTGCCAGCTCCTTGCAATCCAAAAACTAATTCCCCCCCCACCACCCCCCAATGCACACACTGCTGTCATGTCCTCATTTTTTCTTTCAATGTTTATACGGTTTATGTTTTAAACAATGCAGACTTCTCTGCCTCAACCCACTCCCTGTGACAAAGTGTCTTCTCTTGTGTTCGCAGTACTCTGCAAATAAATTTATTTTAACAAATATGAAGTAAAATAGGAGTGTTTCTGTTAGAACGGAGGTGATCAGAGTCAATTTGATATTTAATGTTTTAAATTGATAGGGTAGTGGGGCAAAATAACTTTGAAGAGGTAGGTTTCTAAGCAATTGAGGGGCATACCAGTCTGGAATAAGGGGGCAATGTTTACAGAAAGGATTGTGAGAGGATGGATTGCAGTATTGAAGGATAGATTTGAAGAAAAGGGCAATAAAGATTCTATTAAAAATGAGGTACAGAAGCTACTGATGTGAAGGATAACGTGGTCTGTTGTCTGTGCCAAATAACCCCTTTCCTTGTTATTTATGTATTTAAACATAATATCTCTCACTTAGTCATTCATTGGATAATTAAATAGTCCCTGGTTCTCCATTGCAAGGCAATGGATAATAGATCAGATCAGCAGTTGATCATGGAACTTCTTGTCAACAGACTTGACAGTGTTTTGAGAAACCTCCTGAACTTGAACTCTGTCATTACTCTTAAAAGCATGGTCCTTAAAAAGATTACAAATCCTAAATGTTAGTCTGTTATATTGTGGAATAGTAGGAAACAAATAAGTCATTATTAATTTCAAACCTACAATGACTTCAGGATGTCCAAAAAACCTCTGCAACCAATGAAATACTTTTAAAGTACGGTTCATATTTCTTGTATTACTGCATTAGTAATAAGACTGGGTCATTTGACTCTTTTTAAATCGAATAGCAGGGCATTTCTATCATGGCTGATTTGCTACCTCAACTCCAACTTTTCTATGTCACTTAATTCCATTGTATCCAAAAAATGTGTCTTCCTCTGTCTTGCATACACTCAAACTGAGCATCTATTGCATTCTGTAGGAGAGAATTCCGTAGATTGATGACCCTGTGAGTGATGAAATCTATCCTCATCTCAGGCCAACCCCTTATCCTGAGACTGAGGCACCCTATTCCAGATTGTCTTCACTCTGTCAAACGCCTTCAAGAGTTTACTATGTTTAGCTCTCTTGGATACCTTAGGGATTGAAGGCCTCGTCTGTTCAATCTCTCCTTTAGAACAATCTCCCATGTCAGGAGTCAGCTGAGTGAACTTGCCTTGCTCCCTTGGCACTATATCCTTCCTTTAGATAATAAAACCAAAACTATTGTCAATACTGCAGGTGTGGTCTCATTAATGACCTATATCAAAGTCTAGCTGCAGTGATATTCTTATCTCTCCATTTCTTTTGTAGTAAAGGCGAATATACCATTTCCTTTCCTCATTGTTTGCTGTTCTTTCGTGTTAACATCTGTGATTTGTGTACACAAACACCTAGGTCACTCTGTTTTTAAAATGTTGATATTCAATCAGCATTTAAGAAATATTTTGCTTTCTTTCATTTTACTTGGCTCCTTCAAAAACTTAGATGTGTGTCATCCGGTTCAGGGATTTGTTGGCTTTTAGTGCCGTTAATGTCTCCACTGCCAATTCTGTACTAACAAGTTCCACATTTCTCATTGGTTCCCCATTAATTCTGAATTATATTTATTGTGGAAAATAAATACAAAAGATTTATTTAATGTACCTGCCATTTCCTTATTCCCCATTTTCAGTTATCTCAACTCTGCCTGTATTGGACATGTGTACTCCTCGTCTTGCCAACATTATGAGCATCCTCCTTTAAGCTGATTGTATCTTTCGCTAACTTCTGTGGTTAGCTGTGATTGAAAATCTCTTTTCCCAGTCGGGGTTTTTAATTCACTGCTCATTATTACTTTCTTTCTTTCCCGTTCTTGTTTCTGAGAGTTGAGGTTTCAGACAGCTATTGGATTAATTCATGCTTCAGGGTAGAGTACTACAGTGGATTTCCATTACCTCTGCAGGATGGCTAACTAGGAAACACTTCAGCTCTTTCTTCCCACCAGCAGGCATATTTGAAAGATTTACAAGCTGACAATTGACCTTTTGCTTATGTTACTTGTATGCCTTCATGGCCAATAAGATGGGGAAGTGTGAGGTCATGCACTTTGGTAAGAAGAATAGAAGCATGGACTATTTTCTAAATGGGGAGAAAATTCAGAAGTCTGAAGTGCAAAGAGACTTGGGAGTTCTGGTCCCGGATTCTCTCAAGGTAAGCTTGCAGGTTGTGTCAGTAGTCAGGAAGGCAAATGCAGTGTTGGCATTTTATTTTGAGAGGACTTGAATTTAATAGCAGGGACGTACTACAGAGGCTTTATAAGGCTCTCGTCAGGCCACATTTGGAGTATTGTGTGCAGTTTTGGGCCCCATACCTCAGGAAGGATGTACTGGCCCTCGAGTGGGTTCAGAGCAGGCTCACGAGACTGGTCCCAGGAATGAAAAGCTTAACATATGAGGAATGTTTGGGGACTCTGGGACTATACTCATTGGACTTTAGAAGGATGAGTTGCCGGGGGGGGGCGGTGGGATCTAATTGAAACTTACAGAATACTGAATAGCCTGGACAGAGTGGATATTGGGAAGATGCTTCCATTAGTAGGAGAGACTAGGACCCAAGGACACAGCCTGAGAGTAAAGGGAAGACCTTTTAGAACGGAGATAAGGAGAAACTTCTTCAGCCAGAGAGTGGTGAATCTAAGGAATTCAACACAGAGGGCTGGGGAGGCCAGGTCATTGAGTATATTTAAGACTGAGATAGATAGGTTCTTGATTGTCAAGAGGATTAAGGGTTATGGGGTTGAGGAACTTATCAGCCATAATTGAATGGCGGAGCAGACTCGATGGGCCGAATGGCCTAATTTCTGCTCCAGTGTCTTCTGGTCTTATGGTCTTATCGTCTTATCTGACATGGGACTTGAACCCAGAGCTTTTGGCTCACTTTGCCATAAATTAACATTAATATTAGTATTAATTCATGGATCTAATTCACTGGAGTAATTTGTACACTAATCAGACTTGTATCTCTATCCCTCCTGAGGAGTGTATTGTCTCCTGGATCAAAGTATTTCGGAAAAACTTATCCCCTTCCCTTATCTCCTTATGATGTTTGAACCTCTGATTTCAGCTCAGAACCCAAGCCGACATTCCTGGAGGTGTAGATATGGCTGCACTCCACAAACTCTCTCATGCTGCAGTTATGGCACACTGCATGCATTGCCGTGCCTATGTAACTTTCTTTTATCAATTTAAAGTTTATTTACTTGATCAGCTTAGTTTAGTTATTTTTAAAACTGATCGCTTGTTCTGGTTGAAATTATGGTTTGATTTAGGTGAAGCATTTAACTGTAACCTACCCCCCCCGATTAATTTTTTTGTCACTTCTGTACCACTTACAGACTTGTAGCTGCTTGGTGATCCTGCCCTTTTGTTTTGTAATCCTGATGTATCTGATAAGATGTCACTGTGTTCAGCCTTCACACCTAAGGCTAACTCTCCCTAAACTCACTACCCAAATCCCTGCCCACCCATCCTCTAGCTCAGAGAGCTGGGGTGAGCCATGTAGGTGCTATTTGTTTTTGCAGCTTTATTTCCTATGTATGCATGTGTGAAGTTTGACTGACTGGAAATGGCACCATGTTTGGTGAATTCAGCTCAATCATAATGATTCTACAATGACTTTGAATTATTTTCACTGTGTTGAGGTCTTTGTTTCTGTTGGCTGATTTTGATTTGAGGACTGGTAATGGGGAATTTGGTTTAGTCTCTGATTACAGCCATTGGAAATAGGAAGAGGAGTGGGCCATTCAGCCCCTCAAGCCTGCTCCACCATTCAGTAGGATCATGGCTGATCTAACATTTCCTCGCATCCACTTTCCTGCCCTTTCCTCATAACTCTTGATTTCCCTACTGATCCAGAATATATCCATCTTGGTCTTAAATATACACAAGGACTCTTTCTCCATAGTTCTCTGTGGCAAGGAGTTCCAAAGAAAATCTGTTCTTCAACTTG